GGGGTAGATACCTGGGATTGCTGGGTCATATGGTAATTCTCTTCTTAATTTTTGAGGAACCTCCATTCTGTTTTCCAGAGTGGCTATACCAATTTACATTCCCACCAGCAGTGCATGAGGGTTCCTTTTTCTCCAAAGCCTCTCCAACATTTGCTGTTACTTGTCGTGTTGATACTAGCCATTCTAATAGGTAGGTGGTAGTATCTCATTATGATTTTGATTTACATTTTCCTAATAGTGAAATTTAGCATTTTTTCATATATCTGTTGGCTGTTTGCATGTCTTTTTGCTAAGTTGGTCTTATAATCACAGAAGTTACTGAATTCTGCCAAACAGTACAATAAATTTATAACAAAAAACATTTAGAATGCTGCCCTGTGTCCCTAGTGTCTGAGTTGAGTGACAGGAGTTTTAGATTCTTTGACTGGTGTCTTCCTAGTGAAGTACAATGAAAAAGACAATTAGAGCCTAATGAACAATTCTCCTGTGATTATTTAACTGTCTTTAGGCTGGCTGTTCTCTATAAGCAATTTTTATATTGATTGAATTATCAAATAATATAAAGGAGAATTCCTCACCAGCTCTGACAGATGTATTCCTCATTTTATTCACAAACTCTTTCTGGGTAAATAGTAATCTTATAAGGCCTTATTACCTATAAAAAATGAGTTTATGAGAATTTAAAGTTGGGAACCAGTGTTTCAGCCATGATGCTGTTATTAAAGGTAGAGTTATTAAAGGTAGAGTTTTAATATGCAAGGGTGTTAGTAAGGAATTCAGAAATTTGAATTCACAGTGTGTCCAAGGACAAGCATTGGATCTTTGCGGAAGTCAGATCAACAAACAGGAGGATTAGGAGAGTTGGTGGCAAATGCACTAAAAGGAGAGTATAGATTAAAAAAAAAGAAAAAAAGGTCCTTTTGAAAAAGACCTCAAGCTGAGAAGCTTCAAATTCTCCTAGCATAACTAAGGAAGGGTTTACACTCTGAGATAAGTGTGAAAAATATGTTTTAGAAGTGCCAGCCCTCTCACAACTGAGTCAAAGACAGATATTACTAGTTAATCACACTATTATTTCTTAACAAGCCTTAATGCAGCCAAAAATTGAGTAGTCAATTTGCCATCACTGGAAATATTTATCCTGTCCCAATGGTCATCTATCATCTTTGAACTTCACTATCAATGTTTTTCTGCTCCAGTAGAGAAATGCATGGCACACTTAGGATGAGCCTTCACATTGCTTTACTGGGGGAAACAATTTACTGGAGGGAAGAAGTCATAGGAGATAAGGGGTAGCTTCATTTCCAAGTAGCCTCAGCAGAGAGTTAGAGATATCTTTTTTTTTATTAAAGTATAGTTGACATACAATGTTAAGTTTCTGGTGTGCAACATAGTGATCCAATATTTGTACTCTTTATGAAGTGATCACCACTACAAGTCTAGTAGCCAGTCACTGTAGAAAGTTTTTATAATATTATTGACTATACGAGTATTCCCTAAGCTATGCATTATATCCTCATTACTTATTAATTTTATAACTGGAAGCTTGTACCTCTAAATCCCTTTCACTTTTTTGGTCCTTTCTCCTGCCACCCCCCAGATCTTGAGGGCCTTCCTGGGTTCCAAAATTGGCCCCAGCCAGCTGCCCTGTCAGCATATCCGCTCACCCTTCCTACAACTGCAAATCTTGCCTGTTCTGTTAACTTGTGTTTCTTGATAGCGACTTAAATCATTTTTGAAAAGTCTTACTTTAAAAAATAAGTTTAGTTGCTTATAATCATCATTATGTATTGCTATATTTATTTACTGTTTAAATATTTGTCTTTGGAAACTTCTAATTAATACCTTGTCTCTTCTAACAACTGTTTTTTTGTTGTTAGTTGCAGGTGTACAAAGCAACATACTAGTTAGACAGTTACACCCCTCACAAAGTGATAAGCCCCTGCCCCAGCTACTACCCCTCTGACATCTTATATAACTGTTACAATACCTTTGACTATCTTCCTTATGTTATACTCCACCTCC